TGATAGCATGCCAGCAGGTAATGTGTTTTGACATGTTAACATTAGATTCTCCAAGGACATGTGCCTCCAAGAACAGCCAGAGATATTAAGACAAAGTTTTTTCAGGTACCCAAACTTCATAGGTGGGGCATCCCATTTCTGTCTTTGGCCGTGTGGCGAAATGGAAGTTGGTGTAAAACCTTTGTCTTTGTTTAATCACATAGTCTGGAGCTTGGTGAGCTTGGAATTTTAACCACAAAGAGTACATGTAACAGCACATTCCCACTTGAATTGGGAAAAAGTTGATCTTGATCTGGAATTTTAGTGTGATCATTATCTTACCGCAACGAAACCACATGTCGCGTTCCCTCTTAAGCTTGATCCAACTTTTCGGAGGGAAATGTCAAGCCCGAAAGGTCACTGAGTTCGGTATTGCGCATGTGCCAGCTTGCTGAGCGCACGCTCTGTGGCAGTGTTGCGTACTGGGGTGGCATTCGTGTGACCCTTGCGGTGTTTTGGGTGCGGAGTTCGACTGACGTTACGACCTTGAATCTGACCGAATGTTCAGTCTAGTACGTTGTCTCTTCAAACTTTGCTTCCGTTTTTGATACTCTGTCACGCGCTGCGGGCTATACACTAACACAGAATTAGTTTTTGATGGAAAGCAAGTGAGATTACACAAATGAAAAAGGTTAAGAAACGGACGAATGCGCAATGAAAATTGTGAAAGGGCTAGGTACACATCGCGGCATGCATTGCGCATGCGTGGTGACACATTTTGCTAACCCGTAGTTCAGCAGTTGCTTATTGTGCATGATGTGAACGTTAAAAATTTCACATGAGCTACACGCCAAAAAACATATTTCTTTGTTCATCAGACCGCAAAAGTTTCGCGCCACTCTTGCACGGATGGATGTTGACAGGTCAAATTGCCGGATCAGATCCACCTTTTGCGTTCCAATCTGATCATGATCCAATTGCAGGATCTGATCCACCAATTGGGGGATCTGTATCCTGCTCCAGAGGAGGATCAAGAAAGGTGGATCTGATCCTGATCCACCTTATAACGGTTAGCGTTCCCACTACACACAATTGTGGGATCTGATCCCCCAATTGGGGGATCTGATCCGGCAATTTGGCAAAAGGTGGATCAGATCCCCCAATTGGTGGATCAGATCCGGTAATTTGGCAAAAGGTGGATCAGATCCCCCAATTGGTGGATCAGATCCGGTAATTTGGCAAAAGGTGGATCAGATCCCCCAATTGGGGGATCAGATCCGGTAATTTGGCAAAAGCTGGATCAGATCCCCCAATTGGTGGATCAGTTCCGGTAATTTGGCAAAAGCTTGATCAGATTGGGGGATCTGATCCGGCAATCTGGCAAAAGGTGGATCAGATCCCCCAACTGGGGGATCTGATCCGGCAATTTGGCAAAAGCTGGATCAGATCTCCCAATTGGTGGGAACCCGGTGTAACAAATAAAAGGAGGCAGGAGTGATAAAAATGGGCGAGATACTAGTTTCATTCTATACTGAGACGAATCAAGAGTTTGTGTACCTGGGTCCAGTCTGTGAGGGGCTTTTCAAGGAGGAAGCTCTGCTCCTCCACACTGGGATCAAAATCGATGAGGTCGTACCAGCCGCAGTGAGGCTTGGTCGCCAGCGCCTTGGGCAGGATGGTCTCGCACATGCAGCTGGAGGAGTGGTCCGAGGCCCCCCGCAGGGCCTCTTCCAGCTTGGCCTTCTTGCGGAACTTCTTGGCGGAGCTCACCTTGGGCATCTTGGCTGGTGACCGATTCCTGGAAAAGTCAAAATAAAGATGACAAAAGCAATGGAAATCAATTTACTGTGGGGGATGAATAATGCAAGCCAGCTAGTGCATGGCCAACCTGTGTGCTGACCAACTCATACACTGACCAACTTGTATGCCAACCAACTTGACCGTATACCAACTTGTACTCCAGGGTTCGGCGGAAACACAAGCCCCATATAGGTCTATGCTGCGGTGGCATGCCGACAAAAGGGTGACTAAAACATGTACAACACTTGCAAAACTTATGCCATAACAAAGTTTGCATCCTAATGCCAATTTTTTCTCCATTATCTCAATGAACATTGACAACTAAAGGAGACATGAATAAGAGCTGTCAGAAACTGAACGATTACAGCTTCCTGAAGGGAAGTCCAGTAAAATCTTTGTAAGTACATAGCTGGTCAAGCATGCAGGAGGTAACATCTCCTCAACTTCTTGTGCATCTCGTGTGACTTTACACCAAATTATGTCACTCGTGCTTAAGTGCTTACCTTGTTTTTGCTTAGTTTTAGCAAATTCCCCCCTTGAATGAGTTAGACTGTCCCAGTCCATAATTACATGTATTCTCGGGATGATGAAGAGCCATTGCCAATATTCTGGGGTGAGCATGAATTTGTTGCGACTGGGATGGATTCCCTTGAGTTCTCCTTGTATTTCGAGTCAAACTTGCATTGTGACTTATCTGTTGGCTGTCCTTTGTACAAAGGCACAATTGCAGAACACCCTGCCACTTGCATAAGTTTGGGCGATTCCAGAAATTAGGGGTCCTTTTTTTTTCGTGTCCCTGTCACATTTGAAACACAGTGTGATTTTTTAAGTTCAGAATACCTTTTGTAATTTCCAGGAAAGATGAATTAATTCAGATTACCTGCCAAACAAATACCGTAGTATTAGTTTGAAATCAATTCTGGTGATATTTCTATGTCAAATAACAAAGGTCAGATGTAACAGGGACACAAAAATGTCACACTTATGGACCTCTGATTTCTGGAATTACCCATTTATCCATCTCATAGCTGGCTACAAGGTCAAGTCAGGCTTGATTTCCTTAAGTTACATTCTCAGCACTACCAAGTTCTATCAACTGCATGAAAGTGAGTCATGCTTCACTGCACTCCCAATGCCACTTCGTAGCCATGTCGTAGTAGAAGCGCTCGAACTCTGAACTTTTTTCAACTATCCCCATTAATTTTGAGTAGCTTAGAAGTGTACCAAATATCCAAATACCAGAATATTTGATCAATTATCAAATATTTGAATATTATTTTCAAATTTGAATATTTAAATGCAAAATTCATGAAAAGGAAAGCAAAATTTTTTCTATTGTTTTTAAATGAGAAAAATTGCATATATGGAGGCTTGTTTAAGCAGATTCAAATGAAAAGCGACTGAAATCTTACAATGATTCAAAAAGCAAATTACTGTATTCATTAAACAATTGAAAAGGACTAGAAATTCACAACAGCGCAAGAAGTACTGATCATCTCTTAAGTCTTGCTAAATCGTGCCTGGAGATACTCCTAGATGTGAGAAGCTATTATAGTGATCATAATGTACAATTGTGTGCATTATTGCCACTGATTTTGTGTACGGTTTGTTCATCAACAATCTCCTGGTCAGTTCGACAGAATATTCAGATATTCGATCAAATTGAAGGTCGAATATTCCAATAGTGAATTATTTGACTTGACTCAGCACTAGAGTAGCTGCACTCTCAGAAGGATCCCTACTCATTTTCTATTGGTTTGGTACTTGATATTTTCATGAGTGATTCCAGCCACATACATGTACATTTACACATGTATGATATAGCCAGTGATTTAAAGATGCACATTGGAGTGGTGAGACATTCTGCAAATCCTAGTTGTGCTCGATCAAGCCTATCTTGTCTATGGATAGGCATATGAAGTAGGTTTATGACAGTCTCTGCTATTTGACTCTTAACGTAAACAGGACATGGCAACAGCAGCCCTGAGGGATTGCCGAAAAGCAAACTAAACCACGATCAAGTGGCTCTCCAAAATGCCGAGACCCAACAAATCGAGAGAAAAAAAAAAAAAAAAAAACACCAAAAGAACCCCCTCCACAAATAACAAAAACAACATAAACAAAATTTTAAACAAATTGGCACACATACAGTCATTTACAGATGCTTCAAAAAAATTTTTTTTAATAAAAATAAAGGTACATTGTAAAAAAATGCGAAAAGGGACCTAGGCCTAGGCACAATTAAAATATTTGACAAAAACACTAATTAAATACATAATACATAAATAACTATAACGGTCGAATCATAAAAATATAAAATTGTCTTTGCACATACAACCAGAGAAATATTTAAATACACAACAAGAAAAAACCTCCACTCCGATCAAGTTCCTAAATAGTCTATAGTTTAGTAGGCAAGACAATGGGCAAAAAACCGCGTCGTGCGTTTCAGATCTCAGAATTTTAAGACCACTTACAGTAGGCCCACTGGTCTTCAAACGCCTGAATTAAGGTAAACGCTGCAGAACAAGGCCTAGTCACAGGTGACTGCATGAATTAAATACAGTGGCAGTACTCAGAAAAAGATTGCCTTTGAAGGAAAAAAGGAAAACTTCTGACAAAACACAAGACCTTGCTTCCAAGTTGGATCCTACAATGTACGTACAGTACATGTATTTGCGCCGGCCGGCCTTGCGCAGAAGACTATCATATGCTGACCTGTTGGTGGCGCTCTATTTATTTTACAGTTCATCAAACTTCATGCCTGATCGGCCGTGCGTTTCGTTTGTTAGCAGATCTCAGAGGGTTCTACTAGTACTAGTACTATTCCCCATGTGGGCAGTGTCAGGGTTTCAAGGTATTTGTGATCGCCTGTTGTACTTGTGCAAATCCATAAATTGGGGGTTTTTTGGCAAATCAGTATGCATTTGCGGGCTAGTTCACCACTGCACCATAGCCATGCCCACTTCCTACACTCATGGAGGTAGAATGCTACACTACAGTAGGTGCAGATGGCTGCCAATGTTGGAGCTACCTCCATGGTTGGAGAGAGTTCCATACACGGACATCACTTGACTTGACCCTGGCCCCTTTGTTCCCCCCACCAGTAAAATCCTAGCTACGCCACTGCTACCACAGCCGTAAAGTTTTTTACAAACATGACAGATAGTCATGTAGTTGATGTACAATTTGCATAAACACAGTTTTGGCTGTTTTGATTTTGCCAATTTACTCTGCCGCTACATATATTTGTACAACATTTCAGTTACATGTACATCCCTTCTTGGTGAGGTTAGATGTCTGCTGAGGATGCTTATTAACCTTATATCTCATTCATAAATACCTGGCACAGTTTTTTCATTCCTATTGGTCGAAATTCATCATGTGACCCTGTATTAACATTTGATAATGCCCACCAAGAAGTGATAAGGCCTGTTGCATCAATCACACTCTGGCACAAGGATACGAGACAGTTTGATCTTGTCTGATTGGTCAGCAGACTGTGTGCGTTGGACACGCCACGCATGCGCCAAGTTCATTTAACAAGATTCTATTGGACAACTTTCTAAAGGAATAAACCATAAAATGGACAGGGGTGTTCGGGAAAATGGACTTAAAATTTTGGAACAAAATCGCTGGAAATCAATCACATGTTGACTTCTTTTGACTCTCTGAATTGAAAGGTATTTATGAATGGGAATAAATGTGTTTGGCCAGTCTTAAACTAACATTTAAGACTGGCTCAGGAGACTGAACACTGATAATGCCGTCGCAAAAGCCATTTAAGACCGGTCAAGCACATACTTGTATTTATTCCCTTATTAAAATTGTGAAATTCACGAGTATTTTACCCACAGAAGATCAGCACCATGTACTCTCTTAATTATTTTCAGCAGAATGGCAGCATGACCAATCACAAAGCGGCTCCTATCTTTTCCTCTTTGTTTTGTCAACCGCAAGTGAAAGCTGTGCTGTGATTGGTCATTGGCATCAAGGCAATTTGGCCAATCATAGTGAAGCTTTCATTTGTGGGTAACAGGAAAACAAGGAAAAGATAGGTGCCACATTGCAATTCAATTTCAGCATACTGTTTGCACGAGGGGACTTGATTGCGGCATACATATCATGTTTGACTTTGTTTCACCTGATTGAGATGAGTCTTATAGTATGCCGTCCATTTTGTGCAGTTTTTGGCTAACGAATATTGAGGGAACTGTAGCAAGATCGCCATGAGCAAAGACAGCAAACCATCTGGCTCATCCAGCAGCAGTAACAGCTTCTTTGAGCTGATGGGCTTCATCAAGAAGAAGCCAGCCCTCCCTGAGGGCTGGATCGTCAAGCAGTCCACCACCTACCCGGACCGCGTCTACTTCTTCAACGTCCGGACTGGTGCCACCACCTGGAATGCTCCGGAATTCTTGTCAAGCGTAAGTGACTCAATCGGCTTGTGTTATTTGATCGGAAGGGCAGGCCAATGAAGGCTGTGCCCCTTCCTCAACAAGGACGGCCCCTTCTCAAAAAAAGAAAAGTGGGCCTTTTTGATAAAAAAGTCTCAGTACAGAAATTAAGGCCATCTAAGAAACTTCACCCCCCCCCAAAAAAAACTGTTCGCCCCTATAAGAAAAATTCAGCACTTCTTCCGCCCTTGCTGGCCTTGTGGAATCGCATTACTAATTCTTTTGCCAAAATGTTTACATGGGCCTGTTACATGTACATTACCTGTGTTGTGTAGGACTCTGGATCGCGAAGGTCATCATCAAATTCCTCAGAGGCAAGCGACAAACCATGGAGGCCAACGAGCTCCCTTGCAAAGGCTGCTCACACTGTGACCTCTCTGGCCCCGCGGAGCGGAGCCACACAGAGCGACTCTAGACAGCCACCAACCACGATGCAACCAGGCAAATCCCGTCCTTCCGAGGTTGGAATTCCCTCAGCAAAGGGAGGGCTCAAGACTCTCGGCAAGAAGGCGGAGGGTAAAGTAGGATTGAGCCCGCCCCTGGTGGCACTGCAACATGCAGACTGGCTCAAGGTGCAGTTGTTAAAGGAACCCAGTAATGCAGGCAGCAAGAAGCATTCCTTGGAGGTCAGAGCGAGCGCAATCAGCCACTCGCCCCCCTGGGGCATTCCCATGAGAGTTTCCCACCCCACCGGCACCCTGACCCCCGAGTCCTTAACCCCGCGGTCCCTTGCCAGTCCCAGTGGCCGTGACACAAGTTCTGTCTCCTCTCTGAGTTCCAAGCTGGGGTCTCCCACGAAGCCCAAGCCTCTTCCGGCCAGGAAAAAGAGAAGTCACAACTCTTCTGAGTCCTCAGACTGTGAGACCCTCTTGCAGCTGCATTCCAAATCTAAACAGCTCAAGGCAACAATTGGCCCGAAAGAGTCTCCAACCAACACCTCCCACAGCGAGGCAACTCCCAGCAAACAAAAGACCAAAGGCCCAGGCAAGGACTGTTCCAAGACAGCAGTTGTACAGCCACGAGTGCCGTCGGCTCCCAACCAACGAGACCTGAGGGAGCAGCTGAATAGACCCAGGCAGATCAAGACAGACCGTGAGCAGCCCCAACCAAAGAAGCAAACCGGCCAGGACTCGGCTTCCAAGTTGCCTTCCGCCCGAACTCAGCCACCTAAGCCACCCCCTCCTACGGTCACTCACAAGGATAAACCCAAGTCTGACTCTTCCGTGGGCGTCACGAGCAAGGAAGCGTCATCGAAGCCCAAGAAGATGAGCAGGGCGAGTTGGAGGAGGAAGGAGTTCAGGGCATCTAAGAAGGATGGTGACAGCAAAGGGCCTGCCATCAACTTCACCAACGACGTTCACAACGTTCTTGCAGTCCCAGCCGCCGCCAACATGGAGACAAGCAGCTCTTCAGGCCGTGGGCTTGTTCATGCGGGTACGTACGTGTAGCTCATTAAATATAATCCTGGCAAACCCTAGCTTACACATTTAATACATCACCCGGAATCACGCACTTCCCTCTCTGGACATCTAAATAGGACCCATGACTTCCTTCAAGATAAATCTGTACATTCCTTCAGAACTAAACTGCCCAAATATGAGGGATAAGTGGTCTTCACCATATGAGAAGGTCCTTTGCCACAATTAACGACAGGGTCTACTTTCAAGATGTATTTTTGCGTTGGGGAGATGTTAATTATATATAACAGGTTTTGCCC